TCGGGGGCAAAAGCAGCAGGCCGGCGGTGACCGCGGCGGCCAGGCGCAGCCCAGCCGGGCACAGCGGGCGGGGGCTCCCGGCGCGGCCCTGGTGAGCTCAGGTGTGCGAGCTGTGGGGCTTCCTCCTGAGGTCGGGGCATGACCCACGAGGACGAGGCCTGTGACTGGCTGATGCCCCACGCCCATCCCTGCGGTCTGTGGCTTAAAGGGCCAGGTGGGACCCTTGCCCGGTTTCCTCCCCAGGTCACCCACACCTCGGCCCAGAGTTTCCCCGAGCCCCAGCTCTGAAGAGCGAGTGACCCTGACAGGGCGCGCAGCATCAGTGGCCTCCCAGGAGGAGGAAACCCGCAGACTCCAACCTGTGGGGCCTCGCATCCATCCCCCAACTCCCACCGGGTGATGCCGTCCCCTCCCTGGCCTCTCCCTGCTCTGCCCGTGGCTGCCCGCCCTGCCTCAGTTCCTTGGGACACACGCGTTTGCCTGGCCGCGGGTGAGGGCGGTGTCTGCGGCCACACGGGCTCACCTCCTTCCAGAAGGTAAGCAGGGTCCCGCTGATGATGACAGCGGAAGACAGCAGCACTCTGAGGACCAGGGCCCTGCTGAGGATCGTGTCCTGGACGCTCCGAGGCGGCTGCCTAAGGGTGTCCTTGTCCACTGGCTCCACGCCCAAGCTGCTCAGAGCAAGATGGGGGCCACGCAGAGTGGTGAGGACACCGGGGAAGGTGCCCTTGCTCCCAGGCCTGGTGGCTTTCGCCACACCCCAGGGAGCCCCGAGCAGGGTCTTGCTACCCCAGAACACCTCCTGGCGGGAGCGCCAGTGTGAAAGCCTGTTCTCTGGTCCCCAACCTTCAGGACACTCCCTGGCAGCCAGGACCCCATGGGCAGCTGCATCCTCCTGTACTCTCAGGCCCGTCCACCTTGACCTTTGCTGGCCCGAGACAGCGAGGGTTGATGGCCTAAGGAGGCCGCCCGCACCACGCCTTGGAACCACACTCTGCCGCTCCCCCTGCTCAGGCAGTTCCCACCCGCAGTGGGACCGGCCTCCTTGCTGCCAGCCAGGAGAGGTGCGCCCAGGAGGGAGCCCCGCCACAGGGCCGAGGCCATCCGGCTGGGCGGGGCGGCAGGGCCACGAGGCCAGCCCCCACCTGGGCGGATGCAGCCCAGCCGCTGCACTTGGCCCCGCTCCCAGGAGAGCCTGCAGAGGCGCCCCTCTCACGGGCCTCGGGGAGCAGACAGGAACCGCTTTCCCTTTGCAGCCGTCACTGGTGATGACTAAATGACGCTGATGGCGCATCAGCTGCGCTCGGAGCAACACCCCCCATGTGCTGCAGTGCAGGGAGTGCCTTGCTGGGCCATGCAAGTCCCCCTGACTGCAGGCCTCGGCCCTGCTGCTGCAGCCCCTGGGCCTCACGTGGCCACCATTCAGCCACCTTAACCCCCTCCCTCGTCCATTCCCGCGGCTGCTGATTCCCCGAGCACTGACTGTGCGCCGAGCACTGCACCCAAGGCTGGGGTAAAGCAGGAAAGAGAACCAAAATCTTCCTCCATGAAGTCAATGTGCTAAAGGGGAGACAGAGGACTACGAGGTGAGAACAAACAGTATATTTTCCTCTCTGGGGAAAAACTAAGCAGGGCAAGGGACTGTGTGGGAGGAATCTGGGAGGACTTCTTAGAGGCAGTGACTGGAATGAAGAGGAGTGAAGCACGCAGATGGCCCAGGGAGGATGTTCCAGGTGGACAGGTTTTACCCAACACCTCCCCTGCCTTCCACTCCCTGCCCCTCCCCAGGGGAACACACTTCAATTTCTGGGGACCCGACAGAGACTGAGTTTGTGGCTGCAGCCCTGCCTCTCAGCATGCACCAGAGGAAGGAGATGAGGTGGGCGGGCCTCACCTCTGTGCCGGGGGCCCATCCATGATGATGTTGACCCACAGGATCTGCATGGCGTTGAGGGGGCTGGGCAGGTTGAACACGGTGGACAGAGCGATGAGGCTCAGGGCCGAGATGCTCCTGTGGGCGCGGTGGGGGCAGCCGGTCACCCTCTGTGGCCGGAGGCCCAGGGCGGCTCGGGCA